GTGAAACAAGCTTGTTCCCTAACTTGAACTAATAAAAAATAAATAAAAATAAAAGAATGGGAGTCCTGGTCCCTTAGGGCTCTACTTTTTTTTTAATTTAACTTTATTTTATGTGCATTGGTTTGAAGGTGTCAGATTCCCCTGGAACTGGAGTTACGGACAGTTGTGAGCTGCATGTGGGTGCTGGGAATTGAACGTGGGTCCGCTGGGAGAGCAGCTGGTGCTCTTAACCGCTGAGCCATCTCTCCAGCCCCAGGACTCCACTTTTAAGACCTCATTTGGTTTGAAATTATTTCCTTTAAAGACTTAATGTCCAAATGCAGTCAAATTTGAATGATTTCTCTCTTGTATTCTTGAATAGAAATAATCTCAGAAGGTCTGGTAATGAGTGGTTTGATGGAACTGGATTTCACAAATATGAAGTTGGAAACTTGTCTGCATGTACTGCTATAGGCATGCCTGAAGCAACTAGACAGCATTTTCTGTCCATTCAACAATTAGCTAGCATGCCCGTGCAATGAAAGTAGGGCCTTCTATTTTAACTCACATGGAATTATACTCTATAAAAGGTGTACTTTAATTTTTTATGGTGAAAAGGTGTATATTTGGAATTATCTAGCTGCATTCAGTTTAGATGATCCCAATTTTGTTGTCAACATCCATAGCTTCATAATCAGGAGCCAACCAAACATACACCTTCTTCTCTTCGCCAGGACTTATAAGGGTGTTGACTTTGGCCGCTTCAGTGTCATAGAGCTTCTTCACAGCCTGTTTGATCTGGTGCTTGTTGGCCTTCATGTCCACAATGAACACAAGCATGTTGTTGTCATCTATCTTCTTCATGGCTGACTCAGTCAGTGGTCAGGAGGAATTTGTTGATGGCATAGTGGTCAAGCTTGTTTCTCCGGGGCACACTCTGTTCTTTCGAGGGTATTTGGGCTGCCTCCAGAGCCGCTTCCATCAGCTACTGGATGAAGGCTCTAGGATGGCATATAAAGTAGTCATCAAACTCATTATCAGGGGAGGGCATTTAAGGTTGCCTCTTGGCTATTGCTTAGATACTCAGTTGGTGCCATCTTTGTAGATCTCTGGACATTTCCCTAGTGCCAGATTGCTTGTTAAACCTATAAGGCTCCCTCTATTATGGCATCTCTTTTCTTGCTCTCTCCTATTCTTCCCCTGACTCAACCTTCCTGCTCCCTCATGTCTTCCTCTCCCCTCTTCTTCTCCGCTTCTCTTTCTCCTGGCTCCCCCTCCCCTCCCCCATGCTCCAACTTTGCTCCAGAGGTCTTGTCCCTTTCCCCTTCTTCAGGGGACCATATATGTCTCTTTCAGGGTCCTCCTTGTTTCCTAGCTTTTCTGGCGGTGTGGATTATAGGCTGTAATCCTTTGTTCTATGTCTAAAATCCATATATGACTGAGTATGTACCATGTTTGTCTTTTAGGGACTGGGTTACCTCCCTCAGGATGGTTTCTTCTAGTTCCATCCATTTGCCTGCAAATTTCAAGATTCTATTGTTTTTTTCCACTAAGTAGTACTCCATTGTGTAAATGAACCACATTTTCTCTATCCATTCTCCAGTTGAGGGGCATCTAGGTTGCTTCCAGGTTCTAGCTATTACAAATAATGCTGCTATGAACATCGTTGAACAGATGTCCTTGTTGTATGAATGTGCATCTTTTGGGTGTATACCTAAGAGTGGATTGCTGGATCTTGTGGTAGACTCATTCCCATTTTCCTGAAGAATCACCATACTGATTTCCAAAGTGGCTGTACAAGTTGGCACTCCCACCAGCAGTGGAGAAGTGTTCCCCTTTCTCCACATCCTCTCCAGCATAAACTGTCATTGGTGTTTTTTATTTTGGCCATTCTGACAGGAGTAAGATAGTATCTCAGAGTTGTTTTGATTTGCATTTCCCTGATGGCTAAGGATGTT